TTATGGCTCAGTTACATGATCACTCGCGGGGGCCCCTTAGCCCCGGGGGCGGAGAGCGGTTGCCAGGCAACGCGTTTGCGTCACTGAGCGGAGCTCACCGCCCGCACCCAGAGGCGTGGGAGGAGGGGCCCTGGCCCTTAGCCAATAGGATTCCAGGGAGCAACCGTGGGGGCGTGGCTAGGGTCTTGCTCCAGCCAATGGGATTGTTGTTGTCGGGGCCGCGAGAGGAGGGCCATGCCCCTCTTAAAGGAAACGCGCGCCACTCCGCGCCTTATCACCTTCGCGGTTCCCGGCAGAGGTCTGGAGCTTGCTGAATCCAGCCCCCGTTTTCTATGCCTCGGTTTCCCTAGGTGCGCAGAATAGGGGCAGGGTGGAGCGCTCTGCTCTCCCACGGGCGCCCTTGGTTTTATGGGGCGCCCGCGGTGCGCACCTGCACGGTGGGCAGCTGCCGTCCCCTGTGGGACACCGGGGAAGGGGGCCTGGAGGCGCGGGCGGGTCTGCAGCCGGCACGTGACCCCCGCCAGCGCCTCCTCTACCCTTGCCCCTACTGGGGGGTCAGCTCCGGACGGAGCTCTGTGGCCTCTAGCAATGAGAGGTGACCCCAGGGGACTCCGCTGCAGCCGCCACCCCGTGGGCCCTTCGGGGCTGGCTCTGCCTGACCTTGCTCTCCTGCCCACCTGGGGCCCACGGCCTCCCCTCCTCCAGCTCTCTCTCCCAGCCCAACCTCATGCCATTCCCCCTGGGGCAACATCCTGGGGACCCCCACTTGGACCCACGAGCTTTCCCGTTTCCCAGTTGCTGGAGCTGCTAGGGAACCCCACAATCCATCCAGTTCCCCCGACACCCCACGTTCATGCCCCCTGCACACCCCACACACACGACCCCCCCTCCCGGGCAGGCTTTCCTGTAGGGGCACTCCTGGTGCCTTCGGTGGATTCCCAGCCACCCACCCCCGACTTGGGCTCCCTGCACTCAGCCCTCCTGTGAAATCCGAATGCACAGGGCTGACCCTGGCCGCCTCTCCTCCCCCGACCAGTACTGCTCTGGGGTGCACACCATATCCACTTCCGGGGAAACGCAGAAACCCTGGTGCTTCCCAGAGTCCCCTGGGTCCAAGATGATGCCTGTGACAGGGGTCTGGGCTTCTAAAACGCCACAGGAGCCCCTGAAGTCCTGAACTCGGGGGTCCAGCGTCGCCGCCATGTGCCGGGAAGAACCACCCGGTGGGGGCCCCGGCAGGTCAGCCCCAGCCAGGCGGTGGGCAGGGTGCACGTGTCCACCACTGGCAGGCTGCCAGCTTCGGGACACATTGGGTTTTAGGTTTCGGATTAGGGGTGCTCAGCCTGTGGTGTTTTGGCCAGAGGACACGTGAACTTACCAGAGACAGAGGAGGAGGGAGAGCGAGCACCCCCAGCGGGCCTGGGCACCCCACAGGTCCTCCACCTCCCTCCCTGTGCGAGGGCCCAGGACTCCCGCCGAGTGACCAGTGACCAGCTGGTGGGCCGGCCCTCTTGTTCACCAGGCCGCCCCCGCCCCCAGGCCCACAGCCAGCCAGCCCAGTCCCGTAGTAGGTTCACACTTACCTGGCGGATCTCAGCGGGCCTTGCAGAATCACCCACTGTGGCCCACCCATGCCCTCAGGTCAGGACCCCTCTGTGAGCTCTGAGGGCACACCAAGCACTGGGATGCGGCCAGGGCAGGCTGAGGGAGGGGGCCCTGAGGACAGGCCCCGAGGCAGGGAGCTCTGGGGCTGAGACATGCAAGATCCGGGCCCTGCAGGCGGCCAGGTGCTGGATGGGCATTCTGGGACAGGGGCGTGGGCTGGTCCTGGGGTGGGGCAGTCAGGGGAAGGAGACAAGGCTGTGCAGGGCAGGGGTGGGAGAGCGGGGCAGGGGTGGCTGGGAGGAGCGGCGTGGCTCTGGTGCCAGGGGAGGCAGGGCGGTGCAGGGCAGGGGTGGGTGCTGCCCGTGGAGTGAGACACTGCACTAGGGCTGGGCTCAGGTGGAGCCCCGGCCACCCTCCCTAGCCCGGTCCCCACCCTGCACCGTGGGCGGCCACCCCCCATGGCGAGGGCCGTGCAGAAGGATGAGGCCGTGGACCTGAGCTGGTGCCTGGGCCACGTCTCACAGGGCCCTGGTAGGAGGAGAGACAGAGACGCTGTGGGCCAGCTCTGTGGGGAGGGGTGCAGCTGGGGTGCAGCCCAGAGGGAAAGGCAGGACCTAGACGCGGCCCGGAGCCCCAGGAGGGTCGGCCCTACCACAGCCCAGCCCAGCCCAGCCCAGCGCCGAGGGTCTCCATCTGCCAGGACTCCGGGTGGCCTCCCGTGGATGCTGCAGGGGCCTTGGCCATGGCTGTCTGGTTCCCAGGGCAGAGCAGGGGGGACCCCAGCTACACTTCCTCCCCAGCCCCCAGTGGGCAGTCAGGGCCCGGCCGGAGCTCCGCGTCCAGGACACCACATGATGGGCTGGAGAGGGACGCTCAGGGCCACCCACCATGGGTCTGTGGGGCCTCAGGCAGCGTGAGGCAGGCAGGAGCCGAGCCGTGGAGGTCAAGGCTGGGGTGGGGCCGCTCCAGGCTCAGAGGCCACTGGAAGCGGCTGGATCCCCGTGGCGACGGTGGCTGCCCGGGCTGTGGCCCTGAGACACGCCAGGCACACGCCCCGCGGCCCCGGCCCGCCGGTGGCCCTCGGAGGC